CCACAGTGAGTTGGTTGTTCATTGTAATCAGCGTTTCTTGGGTAGTCTTCGACGGATCTGAGAAGACTGTTTCTGTGAAGTAGACTTTTAATGGAATATACTACTAATGATAAAAAATTAAACTGAACCACAAACTAAATAAGTTCATGAAAATTCTGTATTAATATTTACAATAGCGACTAGGTGTCGCCAAAGTTTTTTTAATGAATTTGGAATAAACACAAAATCTGTAGAAAGAAATGTATAGACCCTAAAAAAATTATAAGATACACAAAACAATTTTACGATTGAATAAAGATGCCAAAATTTAAATTTGGCGCAATGAAGAGTATTGAGTTGTCTAATATCCATAAGTAACTAAACTGAAAATAATTTTAAAATGTTTGGCATTCTCGTAAAAGTAGTTAAGTAGTAAGATGTTAAAATCCCCGCATTTTCCCCGCATAATGCCAGTCCCCAATACATCCCCAATCAACTTGAGATTCCCCGCAGTTTGGGGAATTCCCCACAAATCGGCAACACTGTCTCTAATATAAAGCGACTTACGGAAACCTAACCGTTTCATACTAAAATGTATCGACGATTTCTGTTAAAAAATGAATGATATTTAACCAAAAAGATTTTCTATAATAATAACGAAATGGCCTAGAGATTTAAAATGGAAAAGGCCGTTTTAAGTGTTTTTACCATTGTTGAAGATTTTTTTCTCGAAAATCAAGATGTTTTTTATAAATATCACACGGTGAAAGTGTAGACCCATCTATTAACTAATTGAGATTTTTTTGTTGTGTCATTCAATGATGTCAGTTCTTTAATATTTTTAAAACCGTAACTGCCTATTTGCGCGTTTCTTAAGGACCGGCCCCTTAAGTAACTTCGTAACATAAAGCTAAGTAAGCGTATCTACCGAAACGGAAACTATCGAATACTCTGCTCTGTCTGACTTTCATGAAATACTTGACGCTGGCAGAATCCATTGGAAGTTGCCAAATTAGAAAAAAAAAACCATATCAAATTTCATACGTTTGATAGACGTTACTATTATCTATTAAATTATTACGCTTTTAAAATGAAATAACGAAAAAACTGAAAAAATAACATTAGGATTTAGTAAATGATTTTATAAATCTAATTATTTAAACACATAAATGTACGTTATATAAATTATTTAATTTATTAGAAACCGAAGGCAAAATATACTACTTTTTTCATTGATGATAGATGGCGCTGTTTTGATACTTAAACCATAGAGTTAGAACATACTTACGCCAGTATATTCGAAGTCTATGCTTAGAACGTAGATCGTCGGCGGAGTTTCAAATTATTATGAAAGGTTTAAAACTAATTTTAAACTTTATTTATAAATTACAAATATAGTATGTACACATTTATTTGAATAAATATCTCGCCTATTAACTAACATAAACATATACAATAGAAAATTAATATCTAAAGGAAGGAAAATACTTCAGTAACTTTCTTTTTTGAAGTTCCATAATCGGATAAAAAGTAGCCCATAAGTTGCCCCGTGTTACGAACTACCTCCATACAATATTTCATGGAAATCAGTCCAGTAGTTTTTGCGTAAATCTTTTGAATGATGAATTTGGCTTCAGTAACCTATATTTATTTCCTGGACTTGTTTCTTCAAGAATATCTAATATATTCTTTGCAATTGCAGACACGACTTTTCTACAGATTTATTATACACCCAGATGGATAGATAAAAACAAAAAAACACAAGAGAGCAAAAACATTTTTGGGCTCTTTTTTATTATAATCTATTATCGTAATAATACTTAAAAATAATTCTAATTTATTTCATAGTTTTAGATATCATTATTTATTATAGTTTTAGGATTAAACGCAGTAGTTAGTGGTTGAGAATACTTCATATTTTGAACTTATAAGTGTTTCCTCGCAAATGTGTTGTTAAGTTTAATTTTTTGAGATATTGACTAATTATTCGTTCATTATGCGTGATCAGAATCGAATTTTGCAGCACAAAACGCACAAAATCATCCTATTACTTTCTGCGATTTTTCTTAAAATAGGAAAAGAAAAACCTAAGACAATACTGTGGTTAGTCTATATTATACACTTTGAATTTATTGACCATTATTTGTAGGTATTATTACCTACTTAAATTGACTCGAATTTTATCTGTTTTAGATTTCACGATATGAATTTTTGTTGCTTTTTAAAGAATAACTCCCTAACAACGACATTTACTTATATTTATATTTCTCCAATAACATGCGTGGAAATATTATTAGAAAGAGTATAAAAATTAACCGTAATGTAAAGCAATCTAGCATTTAGAAAATAAAATCACATAATTATATCTATTTATAGTTTTATTTTACCCCACATGCTCCTCAAAAGTAAATTAGATTAATATTAGTGAAAACCTCTCAAATATATGGCAATCCATCCAATACGTTTATGAGGCTTGAGCCAAATTAACTCGAATTTACCTTAAATAAACGAAAAAATTAAAAGTTACCGAACACTCAAACCTTTGTGTGCTTTGCTTGTGTGCGATGTCCCTCGAAGTTTCATAATATGGGCATCCGCTTTGGCGCTAGTAGTATACACTCGTGTATGTAATTACTATAAGACACTCCTGTAAGAGTCTATAGACGTGTTTCATTTTTTAGTTTGCAGATAGCATTCTTACCTCTGTAGAGAATAATAATGTTCTGTGGAAAATTGCACTACGCCTGTGTGTAAGAGCGATAAGTAGCGACACGAAAGTCTAGCGGCGACCGTTGTTGCGCATAAGTTGCGCTGATTGGCTCTACAGTCGCATTCATGCGCGTCCCCTCTACGTTTCGTTCAGCGCTAGACTTACGTGCCACGATTTGTAATTATAGCAAATCTCCTATGACACACTCAATTGTGAAGCATATTATAACAGAAATGGAGTCCAAATCCTACCACCTAATAAATTTTTACGCTCTAGTAAATTACAATACACCTATGAATTAAGTAACGAATACTCAACAAAATAATTTTTAGGTGTTATAATATGTGATCTCTTATCTAAAGTCCACTGCTTAACATAGCTCTTTCCGATTTATTGCCTCAAAAGTGGGGTGTTTGTTATACGAGTACTTGTAGTTGGTAGGATAATTACGCTTGGCAGGCGATGCAGAAGATGCTGTCGCTTACCTTATCTATTAAATATATGCAGACCTTATCTATTAAAATGTGTAAAATATATTTATCAAGCAAATGTATAGTAAGGTATTATTAAAAAATACATGATTGATAATAATCCCTGGGAATAAGGTGACCGTTACCATGCTGTTTCCAAGTGCTTTCATAACAATTGTATAAATATTATGTTGTATATTATGCTTTATAAAAAAGTCTCGCTGGGTTTTTTGCTGGTGTTTCCCAGAGCAGAAGTTTTTTACGAACCTGTGGTAAAGGTAAAAATTACTTTCAATTAAGAATTACATGTAATCTATACTGAGTCAAAATTATTCTATTCTATTCTATTCTCCTCTGTTGTAACAATTAACCTCTGTGTTTTCTTACGAGCTTACGATACCCGCACCCACAGCCACAGGTCGTACTTGTATGCATGATATGGGGTAGTAGATTCTCTTGCGCTGTCACTACATGATATTTATATTTATCGGTATCAAATAATTCAAATTATTTTCTCAAGGAAATTTCAGTCAAGGAATTAAGAGTATATGCTAAAGTTGTTATGAATTAGCCAGGATTTATTAATGTGGCGTAATAAGATTTAAAATAATTATCAAAGACCATTTATTTTAACAATTTTTAGATTGCCCCCAAAGTAACTCCAAGTTTTCTGGATAACATATCACTTCTGGGATTGCTCTCTATCTGTTCATGACGTTTCATGACAATCGATTGAGCCATTTCGAAGATTAGCCCGGGCAGACACACAAAGACTTTTTTAAATGGTTACCAATGTCTTATTGGCATGCAAACAACCTCCTCAGCTCAATAAACATCTGTTGTTTCGATATTACAGACATACTGTTCAATTTCATTTACATGTCTATATATATAAATAATCGATATATGGAATTAATCTATATTAATTCCAAATATTTTATCTTACTTCCTATGTACGTAAGTGATAACGGTCTTGAAATGATAATAACGAGTTTATAATGTATTATTTATTCGAACAACAACTACATTCAATATTTTATCTTCGTACTTGGCGGCTATACCTACGAAAGACAACGGCCGCCTTTGCCTGGCAATCGGTTACATGTGAAAACTATCTCTATTCGTAAGTAAAAATTAATGGAAGAGACTCGAAAGCGTTAATTTTAACAGAGAATTTTGTGAAAGAAACAATTAAATGAGCGTTTAATATTTGGCATTATTAGTAACGACAAAGACAATACATATTTTTTTAAAAACAAAAAAAAACATGTATTGTCTTTGGCTGTATTAATCGACAATATAAATTACACTAACGTCTTATATTTAACATAATATTACGTTACATAAATTATTTTAGGTACAGATTCATTATTTCGTCCACGTTGTTAATATTGAATTCTAAGAGTGCGGCATTTCTTACGCTAAATTTTTAAATTTTAAACAATCTATAAGCTACGTTTTAAACAATTGTTCTAATACGTGATTTGATTTTTTTTCGAATTCCTTTCAAGTATGACTGAATCGTCGGATACACATTCACTCAAACATCGGTAATAAACATTTATCTACACGTTCGGTTTGTCTATGCTATTACACTTAAAATGTAGGTACATACTTCAGGCACTTACACATTACTTGAAAGTCGCGTTAATGTACCCAATTGAAGACGCATCGGTGTATATATAACAATTACTCCTATTTACATCGCGGTTGGTTACTAATGAGTATTAAATCCGACCGAATCAGATGACGCTCTGCCGTTGTTGAGGTTGGGCAGTATATTTTCTAAAGCGAAGCACTCAGTAGGTAGGCGTCGTGGTGGACGCTCGGTAAAGCTGCGCTCACTGCGGCGAAGCGTTGAGGTCGCGGAGGCGGAGATGGTCGGCTAGGGGATGTGGACGTTCCTCCGTCCTTGTGTTTTGGTCCGGCCATTTGACTACCATGTCGGTAGCGGCGGGTGGCAGTGTTACTGGCGGCTCTACCAGCACGGGAAGACCGCCCTCTCGATCTGGTAGAACGTGCCCGATGAGGGCTCCCACACGTCGGTACGACAGCTGTGGCGCTGCGTTCTCTCTGCTATCTTGAAGTACTCTAAGGCCAGCGCCCATTCGAGAAACGAGGATCACTGGGGCATCTGGCACTATGTCGTTTAGTGCCCTCATTAGAACAGGAGCTGCGGTCTGTGGCGTGACGCATGAAGAGACGCCACTGACACGTGCGTTCAGACTCTCTAACACCGTCACCAGTTCGTAGTGTCGGTCGTCGCATAACACAGGGTTATCTGCAATGAAACATTCTCCGAACATTATACAATGTCAAGCTATAACAGAGGAATTTGTTTCTTTTTTTTGAATTTCAGTAGATTTCAATTCATCTCTATAAAACTTTCAAACATATTCTTAAAATAGTAGTTAAAATATGTACTAGATTTGAAATTTTACAAACAATCTACATAGATAAATAGTTCTTGCAAACATAATGAAAAAGTCGCAAATGCATAAAAAAGATAAAGAATTTGCATTGAACAAATTCGCTCAGCAAATCAGGTAGAAGAAGAATAACAATAAATAAAACTTAAGTTAAACCAAAACAATAACTGCATATATGCAGAATGAGCATTGTGGAAAGAAAATGAAAGAATTAGTTTATACTGTTAACATGCTTAAATTTCACATTATTTTAGCGATGTTGACGCTAAGCACAAACCACTACAAAAACAATAAATGCTGGTATAAAGACGTAGTAAATATTATTTACGTTCATAAACGTGACATTGAACTAACCTTGCAGATAAATCTTCAGTATACTGGGCACTCCGTTTATAGTACATCGGGACTTTGACACTAGTTCATAGTTAACGGAGCGTATTTTGTTATATGACAGATCAGCTATGCAAAGAGACGGCAGACCATGGAAATCCTTATCCAGCATTGTAATGTTGTTGTGATGGGCGATCAGCTCCTCTAAAGATGGTAAAAAGGTCTGTAACAAAATACGGTATCGTAACATAAATATGTCAAAAAAAAATTCAATTTCGCTACAACACCATAAAATATATCATAAATAATAATTCGCCGTAGCACGCAAGCTTAGATTATAAATTTATTCTCCAAAACCCAGACATTAGAACAAACCTTTGATGTTTCTTCCAGTGATGTGATATGATTGTGTGACACATCTAGAAGCTTTAAATCTTCTAAGCCAATGAGATCATCAGGAGATATCTGCTGAATTTGATTATTACTTAAATTGAGTCTCAAAAGACCGTGCAGACCCATGAGCGCTCCGCCCAGGTTAAGAATGTGATTGTGATCCAACCTCAACTCCAGTACCCTAGTTTCAACATCCACTAGATTCTGTGAAAAAAGGAACGATTTAAGTACAACTTGAGTTGAAACTGAAGGAAAATTTAGACAATTGAAATATAGTAAGTAAAGGTTCTAATTTCAAAAGAATGTAAAAGTAGATAATTTAACAAAAACTTCTATTAAAGAATTTTTAATAAGGTAACTTACTTCCATATTTCCAGTTATTTGGCTAATTTTATTATACGACAAATCGATCACTGATAACCTCTTTAAGCCTTTGATTTCTTGCAGAGAAAATTCTGTCAGAAAATTATGCGTCAGATTTAAATAACGTAATGCTCTTAAATTTCTAAGTGACCCGTTCAGTGATTTGAGTTGATTGTAAGCTAAATCTAAATCGGCTAAAATTTCTGCTTCCGCGAATTCGTCTTCAGCTAACTGTAATTAAAATAATTCATTTTATAATTGTTGTTAAATTACTAATAGAAATACAGTTTAGATATAGTAAACACTGAAATTTTACTTACAGACTCAATTTTGTTGAACGACAGTCCTATCCTCATCAGCCGCCTTGATTTTTGCAATGCACCCTCAAGTGATTTGATGTTGTTATCATAAAAATACAGGGACTCCAAGGACGGCATCAGTTTCAGGTCTTTGGGTAAACTTTGCAGTTCGTTGTGAGCGGCGTGAATCAGTACTATTTTTTTCGCTTTCTGAAAAATTATAATAGTGTAGTTAAAAAAATAGAAATCAAAATAATTTCCATTTATAGATGGTTCATATAAATTTATATTCAATCTTGTCGAGTTAAAAAAAGCCTTCCGGTCTGTTTTGACTATGGCGATAACGGGTTATTAGGGTTATTATTGACCCTAAAAATCCAACCTAGGGTAGATACTCGAAATCGGGTGTTCATCTATCTATCCACCTAAGACGGGATGGATAATCGAAATTCATTTATATTTGTTCTTCTAATTTTATATCTCGAGTACAGTTTGACAAGTAAATTCGTCACGTCATCGTTTCTTAAATTTCTTTGCTACAACAGATGTGTTAGCGGTAAAGTTATTTTGCAAGCATTCTAAAAACGTTACTTTTGGATGTTTGTCTTTAACTTCATTTAAATTTTATGCAAAGATTCCAATGAATCTGTAGTCATGTAAGGCACTCCTTTTTTTTCAGCGTTGATCTTTCAAACAAAAAATATGTATTTATTTTCATAGGCATGCTAATTTCTACTAAGTATTTTGAGCCAGTTTTTATCATGTTTCTCTAAATGACTGTAGAAAGCCGAGGCAGAAAATCGGAAGAAAAATATTATATATGAATTCCGACGATGATGAACTGTCGACCTTAGTGTGAATTTTTTTGGGTGGATAAACGGAATAATCGGCGACAACATTCCGATTAATCGAAATCTTTTAACAGCACAGTAGATGTTATAGTGCCATAAGTGTAACCGCATATACGGGAACTCACCCCGACACTTATCTGTCACTATGAAACATTAAAGGTCTCGACCAACTACATCGGCTCATACTCCGAACCTGATATAAGCGTATCAGGCACTATAACGTATTAACGACATATCATATCCGTATACAACGCGTTCGGTGACCGTATCCTCTCCGTTCAATATGTGTACGACTAGTAACATTATTTAATTTGTGGTACAATTATGATGGCCATTCGATAGACCGACCGATAGGTTGTAGCTCATTTTGTTTGAGTTTTAGTAGCAGATAGACGAGTCAGGAAGAGCTTAGTGTAGTTTTAAAATTAATTTATATCAAAATACCTATTCAACGTCGGTAATGTCCGGCCTAGTGGACTATGTTGCATATTAATTTATGCAAAGAATATTTTTGCATGTGCCGATACGGTTATGGAACATTATAGTGGGTAGAGATCTTTATGCCTTAAGAGTAAAGGTCGACTACGTATTTGAGTTTTTGCTCAACTGTTGACTTCGATTGGGATAAGAATCAAGGACCAGCGGCGGAGTAGCCAGATACTGTCTGCTTTGTCGCGCTATCATTACTTTATAACTATAGAGTTTTTATTTCTTATACATGACACTATTGGTTGAATTCTCATTATAATAATCGTTTTTTTTTTATAGGATAGGCTGACCAGCGAGCACACAGTCCACCTGATGGTAAGTGGATTGCTGTGACCCATAGACATCTAAATTTTATCCTCAATAAAGAAACAAAATGCAGATGCATCGTCACCCGTGAGGACTAAGACGGAATGCGTCTTTTCCAGTGAAATGGAATTCCGGTTCTCTACACTCACCATACGAAACACAGCAGTATCAAGTTGCCATTTTACGCTGGTGTTCTGTGAGAGCGTGGTCCTTCCCCGGTCGAGCCGACACATTTGTACTACAACTATACTACTAATATAGCTGCAGCGTGGCTCTACCACGTAAAAGAAAAAAATAAAAAGATTAATAATATTATTATAGTAGGTTTTAACTTTGCAAATTAAAGTTAAATAAAATGTTAGGCTGTATTTTAAGAAATGAAAAATTATTTTGTTTCTTAAATTAGTTATCTTAATAAAATGAAATTAATTGATATAGCTGTAAAGAAAAAAAAAATAGTTGAATCCTAATCCTATTTAAGTCCCATTACAAGCAGTTAATTACATAAATTCATAGATTTATGAAGTTTAGCATGTCATACTCGTAATATATTTTAGTCAACTATGATTTATTTTTCTAACTTGTTTTACAAAATAAGGGAGACAAAGGAGCACACAGTCCACCTGATAGTGAGTGAATGCTGTGGTCAATAGACATTCATCAACAACAGATGCATTGTCACCTCTGAGGATTACGATGGAATACCTATGTATACCTGTTATTTTACGCTGGTATTCAGTGAGAGCGTAGTCTGATTCTTAATTTAAATGTTATTTTTTTTAATTATAGTTATTTTTAGTTAACTTACCACGGGCAGTTCGTTATCTATAGACTTTAAATTATTAGCATTAATGAAGATCCACTCTAAATCGTCCAGATCCCTCAAGGCACCATTCAATGTACTTAGTTTATTGATACCCAGATGAACATGCTTCAGAGCTTTAGGCACCGCATGCCTCTCTATCTTAGATATCTGATTGTCGGCGACAACTAAATGCTCCACTTCTTGTATATCCTGTGAAATTCAAATTAAATAAAGGTTAATATACACGATAAAATTCGTAAAATTAGTTTTATTTAAATGTGTAGTGTTCGCGTAAATATAAGAAATCATTATTAAATAAAGGTTATTTATATTATAAACTTTTTTATAAGTAAGGGCGAAACATATGATCAAAGAGTCTACTCCATAGCATACACACCTACATTTATCCTCGATTGGGACAGATATGGAACGCCTCTTTACAAGTATAAAGGGTCTCCGGTTCCCATCACTCACCGTGTTAGGCGCAGCAGTTATATGCTGCGCTTTACGCTGGTATTCCGTGCGAGCGTGGTTCTTAACCGTATCATTCGTGCTTTAGCCATAAAACGCTGCAGTTTGACTCTACCACGTGAAAACAATTTTTACTCATTATTAATTTAGTGTGGGCATATTAACAAATGTGAATCTAGGTAGGCTAAGGGCCCTCCGTAAATTGCAATAATGATATCCTCCACCACGGCGGCCAGTCTCAGCGGAAACTAGGCATCTGCACAGGATAGGATTATAGTGCCCGAGTGTGCCACAGGTGAACTTTCTATTCACTAACTCTTATAGTCTGATGGGACAGCAATTCTACACGACCGCAGAGGGATTAGGCGCAGGACCAACGGCTTTCCTAAGCACGGGAGTGAAACATCGTCAACTTTCTAACGCCCGGTTACTACTGAGAATTTATTGACAGATAAACTCAATAATTGATTTATGTTGGCCCGACCCAGCATTCGAACCCGGGACCTCACCATGAGCAGTCCCGTTTACGACCACTAGACCAATGAGGTAGTAACCGAGGACAGAATACGTAAGTAGTCATAGACAACAGTTTTTCACTGTGATTAAAATAATATACTCACTTTAAAATCCTCTTCCGTGAGCTTTGAGATCTTATTCCTGCAGAGGTCGAGGGTCTTCACGTGAGGAAGATGGCGCAGCACGTGGCGAGGCATCTCCGTCAACGAGTTGTCGGCAAGACTGAAGTAATCGACCAGGTCCAGCTTCGTGAACACGCTCTCCTTCAGTTCACTGGAATCGAGTTTAAATAACATTATTATTATTATCCTCTAAACACAATTTTTTATTTTTCCATCCACAAGAAAGTTAAATGTGATAATCTTTATATATAAAAATTACGTGTCACGTTGTTTGTCCGCGATGGACTCCTAAACTACTGAACTGATTTCAATGAAATTTTGCACGCTGTGTACAGTTTGGTCCAACTTGAGAGATAGGATACTTTTTATCCCGATAAGTGACCTTCAATATTTTTTATTGCGAATTTAAGGATTTTTTCATAGGAAGGGTCGTCGGAAAGGGCAGAACAACGTCTGGCTGGCCAGTTAGTAATATAATAATATTAAATTAAATGCGTGAAGTGTACCTTCTTATTTGTTAATAGCGTTAGATGTGAATACAGCGTTCACACATTTATTAATTACAACATTTCAAAAATAAAATAAAATAAAAATAGGCCATCAATAGGCCAATATTGTCTCACAGAGACACCGTGTATTTGACACCGTGGCCACGCTTCGTAGGTGGTCTGGCAACCGTAATATTACCTTTTGTACTGTTATCAGGAAGATGCTGATTCCCATCTCCTGTTTCACATCTCTCTGTCGCCTCTCAAGATATCTTCGGGTTGATATTGGGATAGCGGATTGTTTTACACACTACACGACTCCTATACTAACTACAAACAAATACATCATAATACATCATCATCATCATCATTGTCCATCACAAGTCCACAGCAGAATATAGGCCCTCAAGGAACGCCACATCCATCTGCATCAATCGACTTCCAACGTCTAGTACTAGGTCGTCACTCTATCTAGCGCTACAATTCGCTTACCGGTAAGAAGCGTTCATTCGAAAACCATTTCCCCCCAACAAAATACATCGGATATGAAATACAGTCTAAAGAAGTAAATTATTATTGAAATAAAGGATCCGACTACACTGGTATTTTCATTATAAATTCTTTTTAATGGAAAAAATGCTTTCCATCCTAGTCCTCAAGTCTAGTCCACTTTGCCATAATTGCCACCCTTAACAAGAGTGTTGGTAACCGCAGTTTTTATTACTTCAAGCTTATATCGGGAAGATACTGCTGCCCATCTTTGTTTTTATAAGATAAGGGTGACAAACGAGCACACAGTCCACCTGATGGTAAGTGGTTGCTGTGGCCCATAGACATCTACATTTATCCTCAATAAATAATCAAAATGCAGATGCTCCGTCACCTGTGAGGACAAAGATAGAATACCTCTTTTCCAATAAAATGGTTCTCCGATTCTCTACACTCATCATACGAAACATAGCAGTGTCAAGCTGCCATTTTACGCTGGTATTCTGTGAGAGCGTGGTGTAGTTTACGTTTTTCACCTCTAACAACCCGCGGGTTGATAATGATAATATAGGATACTGGATTCTCTTATACCGCCACTATATGGCATCATGTGAAGTTAAATTTTAATCTATTTCAATCTTTTCCTTTAATTATCTTAGTTTTAAGAACATCACCATCATTACAGCCCTTCACAAGTCCACTGCTGAACATAGGACTCCCCCAAAGAATATCACAAAGCACGATCCTAAGCCACCTGCATCCACCGACTTCCTGCATGTCTTACCAGGTAGTCACTCCATCTAGTGGGGCCCTACAGCCCTACACTTCGCCTACCCATACGAGGCTGCCACTGGAGAACATTTTTTCCCCATCGGTTGGTGCTATATGGCCACTTCAGCTTACTAATCCGTTGGGCTATGTTGGTCACTCTGGTTCTACTGCGGATATCCACATTTATAATTTTATCACGCAGTGAAGGACCACGTCTGAGATCCATAAATAATCACTGACAACATGCGGTGGTTGTACAATCTCCTTTTCAAGTTTTGAGGTATACCTGAAGAGAAGATGTGTCGTAATTTCCCGAACGCCGAGTTGAATCCGTCGATTTACCTCTCAGTCGAAGTTGGACTTAGCTAGGCGGACTATTTGTCCCAGGTAAAGATATTCGTCAACAACTTAGAGCTTGGTGCTCCCAACAACTACCAGCATAGATGTGACATGGACGTTACATATGACCTTTGTTTTGTTCACGTTCATCTTAAGACCTATCCGTTGGGAGGCACTACTGAGGTCATTGAACCTAGGTCTTAGGTAGTTCTTAGGTCCTCCAGAACTTCTTCCATAAGGAAATCATTATTCACTTTTGATTTGCCGACAATTTGGCAAACCAAAAGTGAGTAATGTACTCGGCATTGATGTTAATTTCGTTTCCTTTCCAATCCAGCAGCTTGAAATCGTCTTCCAATGCAGCGGTGAAGAGTTTCGCAGTTGGATAGGTTTCGTACTCTGGTTCTGTACTCGGATAGCCATCGTAGCCCTACTGTACAAGTACTTCGATATACCGACAGTCAACTTGGCACCACTGAAAGGGATTGCAGTACTGCCCAAATTTTGACAGAATCAAAGGCTTTCTCATAGTCCACATACACAAGACAAAGTGGCAGATTGTACTCTTCGGTCTTCTGTACAATTTGCTGAAGGGTATGTCACATACATCTATGGTGCTAAAGCCTTTTCTTAAACCGGCTTGTTTGGAAGGCTGGAAGTCGTCGAGTCTGCGTGCGAGACGATTCGTAATGACTCTCGAAGACAGCACGTAGGCGCGGCTCAGAAGGGAAATCGGTTTCATAGAACAAGACTACCGCACTTCTGCTCCAGGCCTCCGGTGTAGTGCCACCATGGAGGACGGAATTAAAGAGCCTTTTTAGGGTGCTCGAGAGCCATTCAAATCTCATTCAGACCGACGTCTGGCTTATCATCAGAATAGTGCCGGGTAAGACTTGATCTCGGAACCTAACTCACACTTGGGTGTGGCTCCAATGATGATGTGTAACAGATGCCCATAAAACTGTTTCTGGGACACCTAAGAAAAATTTAGGTGTCCCAGAAACGATGCTGCTACATTCGATCTTCAGCTTTGACAGTTGCAGAGCTTAGCTCCAACCGCATGGACAGTTTCCACAAGTTTGTCATTCATATCGTCCACTGCATTGCCATCTTCTAGGCACTTAAAACGATTTTATAACTCGAGCTGAAAGTTTCAGGGACTTTGGATTAGAGTTCGAAGAGGACAGAGCATTGACATCATTAGACGTCAACTCTCCAACTTAACGTTTATGTTCAGTGTGGTTTGACCATTCGGTGATCAATGGATAGATATTTAATTTTTAAGGTGTATAGAAAATGTCGATGGAAAAGGAAGAAACGTCTTCTCACGCATTAGCCAATCTGTCTTATAGGCGCAGCAGTCGTATATCGGAGAGGCTGATATCGTGTTTACTTGGTTGGTTATTAGAGACAATCTCGAGTTTCAGCTCTAACCTCAAAATATCAAACTGTGATATTGAGCAATAAGTTTTCACAAACTTTGATATCGGGAAGTTTCCGTTATTCTCGAGGTTGTCTCTGAATACTGGCCTTAGAGGCTTATTGTAAACTAGCGACTCGCCCTGGTTTCACCTGTTAAAGGTCTATTAATGTAACGTTATTTAGATAACCTTTTATAATATTTTCGTTTTTTTTTTCAAAAAAAAAATCACACATTTCTCGGTTAAAATATAGGCGAAATCCCTCATGGCTTTCCAACAATCGGTTCGACATTCCAAACATTAAAAAAATGGTTATTAATGTCTTATTAGCATTCTAGTAACACCTTGAGCTAATTGACAGTTATTTCACTAGGCATTTCATTTAGTGAGGGTCACCTATCACTACGCTAGTACACTGTACTTTCTTACACATCATTTGTTTGTTCTTCGAGCGCTATGGCTGGCCCATTGCCACGATAGCCTACTGGTCCACTGGGGTATGTAATGGAATATATTCGCAGGATAATAAGAGTAACGGAGTCATAAGTTATACAACAATTAAGCCTTGTTATTCTGCGGATATCTTTGTTACGTATTTTAGCGGGAAATTAAAAAAAAAGAGTAGAGCTATCCTCTCCATGGTGATTGATGATTAATTATCCTCTACATGATTTTGTCTTGTTCATATTCATCTTCATAACCTACTCGTTAGGTGACACTACTGACTGGATATATCGATGGCAAATCGAAGGTGACTGGAGTTGTCGGTCGAGAAGTGGCTATTGACCGCTTCAACAACCAACGAGCAAACATTATTTCCGACTATCGTTTTGATATGGTGAAGTTGCATATTGGTCTTAGACGTGGCAAAGAGGCATAGAAGTCTATGAATGTAGATGGCTCAAGTCCGTTCTGTGCCATTTTTCGGTCTACATTCAGCAGTCGAATTGTGACGGGATCTAATAATGATGATCATGAAGACGACTCGAAGCCAAAAAGCAGATTTGTTTTGTGGTAGTGGCGTAATAAGTCCATCACCATTACGGAAAAGGCTAGAAAGGACCTGTGATAAGGCTTTTTATTGGAACAAGAAATCACCGTGTGTTCCGGCGTGCTTTGCTGGGATGAATAAGAGAGAGATTTGTTCTTCTCCATGGTGGAGTGACTAAGGTTGTTTGGTGGGGCCATGACCTATGTGCAGAGAAGGTGAAATGCCATGGGGTTTGAATCGGTGCTAAGTATGACATAATCCCATACTTGCTTCTGCGAGGCGGGTTTGTGTATGTTATTATTAGATATCTTCCATCGAAATAAGGTTTATAACGTGTCTTTGTTGCACGTACTGTAGTGGCTTTATTTTTTTTTATTTACGACTTGCCCGTGGATAAAAAGACACTCCGTGGTAATATTAAAATTCAGCCTAATTTGATTCGTATTTTATTCACGTAATTGTTCATAGTATGCATTTATGTATTATAAAATCATGAAAGTAATATTTTTTTATTTTCTTTAAAGAAATCATTACTCAAAAACTGGGAATTACGTCTGTATCGTGTAGGCGTTTCACTTCTCTATACATATAATAAATCTGTAGAAAAGTCATGTCTGTAATTCTAATCTATTCTTGAAAAAACAAGCCAAAT